GCTACTGTACTCCAGCCTGGGCGAAAGAGTGAGACTCCTACAAAAAAAATAAAAATAAAAAAATAAAATAAACAGATACATAATATAGTGACAGACAGTGATAAACGCTATGAGAAAAAAAGAAAGTTGAGTAAAGGGACAGAAGATGATGAAGGGTGATGATAGGGGTAGGGCTGCTATTTTAGATTGGGTAGTCAGGGAAGATCTTTCTGAGGCGGTATTTTTTGAGTTAAGATCCACAAGTGAAGTTAAAGGAACAAGATGTGAGCATATCTGGAGAAAGAGCTTTCTGGCAAAACAGCCTTGAGGTACAAGTATGCTTGTCACATTTGAGGAAAATAAGGAGACCAATGTAGATAGAACAGTCTGAATGAGGAAAAGAGTGGTGGGAGATGTGGTTTAAGAATATCCCGGGACCAATTAGAGCACTGGATTTTATTCTAAATGTGGTAGGAAGTCATTTGAAGAATTGGAGAAAAATGTGCAATGATAAGATTTATGCATATATCCTCACAGGCTTTGTCTTGCTGCCGAATAAAGAGTACACTACAGAGGGGCAAAGGTGGAAGCAAGAGACCAAATAGAATACGGTGGTAGAGAATCTGAGAAGTATTCAGATTCAGGAAATGCTTTGATGATAGAGCTGATAAGAATTGCTAATGGATTGAATATGGGGTGTTCAGCATGAGCCAAAAGTCTCTGGGTTTTGGCTGAGGCAGCTAATTGAATGAAGGTGCCATTTACCGGGAAGAGAAAAACTGAGATGGGGATTAAGTGTAGGAGAGGAAATCAAAAGTTTGGTTTTAGATTTGTGAGAGACTGTTTGACTTTTGAGTTCTTAGGGATAAAGGCCTCTAGTAGCTGCAGCTGGTGTTAACCTTTTACAGGGACATGACTAAGTGGAGGTGAAGGGATAGAGAAACAGAGGAAATAAAGTTCCTTCTGAGTAATCTCCCAGATTTTCAGGTGATAAAAAGTAGATTAGTCATCTGAACCTGTCTTATACACACTATGATTTCAGGGCAAGAATACATCTCTCTCTTCAAAAAATGGCCTGATTTCTATTGTCTCAAAATTTCTGAATTTAAATCAAATTTATTCTACAATTCGAGACAAAAAGCAAAAATGTAAATAGCTTAAGAGACAACTCAATGCGTATGAGTCTTTATCAAAGTACAACTAAGAGCAGATGAAAGTCCTAGGTGTTTAAAAGGAGGAAACTGTTTTCATTGCCAAGAGAAAGGATGTAGATAAAACAAAGTTTTCATAATCTTGTTGGACATTGCCCTATTTATCATAATTTTAAGGTAAGAAAATAAACAAGTGTTTATATCTTGAAAGATAATGTAGGTTTATACCCAAGTGGGGAGTATGCATTTAAATTACTTCTCTTCCCCATCTTTTAAATCTTTCTACCTTTTAATCTTTAGTCTCTTCTCCAAAGTGTTCTTCAACTAGAAGACCTGTGGCATGATTGAGGCTTGCCACCTCTTTTCTAGGGCCAGATTTTAAACAGATGGCCCTGGAGAATGCTACATAATCTGTACAATTCTCCATTTGATGTTGCATGTCCTAGTGTCCTAGGGGAAGGGTACCACATTTAACACCAGAAATGGATTTAAGGCAGCTTTTCCATTATTTTTTTTTGTCAGAGTAATATATGCTTATTGTAGTATATTTTTTACAAAAAATTTAAAAACTAAACAACAAAGGACTATTTAAATTTTTCTGCTTACTAGAGGCAACTCCAACAACATTTTGGCATATTTCCTTTCAGTGTTTAGTGCATTTTGTTCTTTCATCACTGAGCTCTTTATCGTATAGGTGACTCTGCATTCTGCTGTATCTGCTTAATGTTATGGTATATATATTTGTCCATATCATTATATTTTTATGGTTACAGAATCATCTGAAGTATATCTACACCATGATTTACTTGAGGTAGTTTCTGATGATTTACAATTACAAATAACATCATGATAAACAGCTTTGTGTGCAAATCTTTACTCTTCCTTTAGATTACTTACTAAAGGAGGATCTGTTGGATTAAGTATGTACATTTTTAAAAGTATGTACATATTTTAAAAGCTTCTGATTGTACATTGTTACTCTGATTTCCAGAAAGGTTATTATCAAATTACACTTGGGGGGGAAGGAAAAGGGAGAGTTATTGAAACTATTGGTGGAAAATACTTGATAGGAATTTTTACAAAGCACTATGTTCCTGGGGTAAAGCCCTTCTGGAAAAGTAGCTATCTTAAAGTATTAAAATTCTTACAACAGATTTTCCACATCACACAATATGTCTGGGTCATGAGAAGAAAGAGGAAAGAAGAATTGGAAAGAATCTGAGTTAGAAATGTCAGAAATGATCAACTTGGGAAAATAAGTTTACCAACACAATTAAAGCACTCGAGTATTTAAAATAGTGATTCAGATATTAATTTTGATTATACAGCATCGGGCTTCTTTACTTTAATCTTGTATGGCTTTGTGCAACTAATGGGAAACAACATGAGCCTGTTTTTCCAACTGTGGCACCTAATCCACGAGTGAATTATGAAACCAGTTTCTTGCTATGACCAGTATGTTTAAAAAAATACAATAGAACTGAATAGAAAATAAGAGAATGCATTGCACCTAAGTAAGGGAGATACTATTTTTCAGTTACGTGTGTGTACGATAAAACACATTTATTTTGTGGGATGTAATTAAGGGAAAAATAATTTGAAGTCATTGGTGTAGGACTTTGAAATTGGCCAGACTGAATCTGGCTCTGCGTGACTTTTGCTAGTTTTCTAACTTCTCTATGGCTCGATCCTCTTACTGAAATAAAGAGAGTAATATCTCCTGGGGTGTGTGTGTGTATGTATGTGTGCAGGTTAGAGCTTATTTAAGCAGCATGCCTACAACACAGTCAATGATTAATCAGTATATACGTGTGATTACTTCCACATCTTCCCCAAAGCAACGTCCTCCACGTAAAACGACTTCGTTCTCTGGGACGGAGGAAGGCGGCGTTTTACCGACCACGAGCTCGACTGGGCTGCGAGGCGACTTCGAGCGCATCTCCGCCGGTCTTTTCCTCCCACTTGGTTGAGCGCGGAGCCCCGAACGCATGGCTCCCCCCCCTCCTCCTCTACCACAGCATTTATATTCCGGATTTGGGCGCTCTGCATCTGTCGTCCGCCGTCTAATGGCCTCCTACTTCAGCCGCGATTAAAAACTTTCGAAGCGCTCGCGGT